CGATTAGGAATTGCTTTACTGCCCTATTCAGTACATGTTCATGGTGATGAAATAGTGGGGCTGTGTAAAATTTGGATTTGAATGAATTGGATTTGCATTTGAGAGGCGTACGCAACAAAATTATTCATTGTATTGATGAGGTCATCACTATTTCAAATTTAAGACTTGGTGATATTCAAATTTTCTTACTGGTTGACGGTTACCATGTGTATTGTGAATACGCTCTCTGCAAAGTCTAATTTAGTATCTATGGATACAGCGGATAACTTCAGCGATTGAATCATTACTGAGCAAAAACAAATGGGAGCTGAGGACAAGTGCTCGTATAGCCCCTCAGCACTCGTCCTTCCAGTGCTTGATTGCAATTCGACGAACCAACAAATTACGCGTCATTCAGAATTTATTTTACTAATAATTTAGACAGTCTGTCCGTTGTTGGAATTTGGTATCGCGGATGCCATCACATTTTCTATACGCCGCAATGCCAATGCGTCGCGGCATTGCTTAGATCTGGTTTTCCTCCCGAGCGACGTTGGGTTTGCTCATCAGGTTAACCTGGTGTGTCGAGTAAGCCCGTCGTAGTGGAGTAACTTACCTTGTTAACCTGATACACCCGGTCAACCAACTACACCAAATTTACCTGAGAAGTTGAACTGGCAGCTTGACGCTTGATATTCTAGCATCGTTAATAATGTTAGTTATATTCAAAAGGCTGGGCGTTGAAGATCGGGGACAACCCTCGTGATTATCTTTGCATTCTGAAATTACCTCATCACAACGAGCTCTATTACACATCATCATCAACTCAACTGAAGGCCTGGTACTCACCGTATACTGTGAGTAGCACAGTATGCGTCTGCGTAGGAGAGTCAACAAACTCAACACGGCACGTGAAACTCCCGTTGTCACCGCTGGTCACGCTGCTGAGCTCCAGGCAGCCGGGGAATGGCGGCAGGGAGGTTGTGTTCGATGGACAATGAGTGTAATGTTCACCCTCTGCGGGTTGGTTGAACACTTCATGTCCCGAGTCTAATGGCCTCAGCTTTTCTAATCTCGGGACATCGAGTCCCGAAATTTCAGGCCCTAGAGTAACGTGTCCTCTAGATCCAAGTCCTAGGTGTTCGGGACCCAATTCTTTAAGGACCGAACCTCTACCACTTCGAGGACCTCGTTGTTTTGAAAACAGGAAAGGGTTGCCGGAGGGGTGAAGGATTCTGGGTTTTTCCAATGGGGTATGATGTGTGAATATTTCGTGATTTAAAGTTTTAGGACCGTGGGTGGCAGTTGCGTCGTGAATTGATGAATAGTGCTTATTTGCGAAACCAGAATAAGGAATTGTATTATGTAACTGTGATTGTGAGATCTGAAACCCCTTTCCGTGAAACGTATGTGAGAAACGTATGTCACTTTTTAAAATTGAATGATTAGAGGAGTATAATGTATTTAAATTCGTAATAACTGCATCGGTACTTCTTTGAAATAAATTTGCAATTCGGAGTGAGCGTCGATATCTTAAATTCAGCTTCTGGCTTAAATTTGAAGAAGAGGAGTCCGTCACCGGCATTGACTGTGGACGATGGTGGTCCAGTGGATGAGGAGGGCTCAAGGCATTTAACGAATACTCAGAATTTTGGTGTTCGCTGTTCTTCGTGTGGGATTTATTCATAATGAAGTGCGCTCTCATGCCTATGCTGTTGTACTGCCTCTCGGAGCCGCTGCCGTTCCTGATGTCGAAACTGGATAAAAAACTTAAAATTAATTAAAGCCTGAACATTTATAATTATAGTGTGCTTTAGACTGACAAATAGAAGCAAAGAAGCTCAAATACCATATGCACCCATTGTCTAATGTGGCTCTTATTGCAACTTTGATGATTCATTTCAAATTTCAGAATACTTTTTTTTTCTCATATGAAAAGTTCAATATCTTAAGCCCAATAGCACGGAAATCATCAATGCGCTGTCAAATTTTCTTTCACAGCTTAAATTGAATATTGCGAGATCGCGAGAAAAAGTTTGTTGTAATTTATACCTGAAACTCATGGCTAGGAAAGTAAAAATATATTTACTTTCAGATGTAGAAGAAATATTTTGAAGTAAAGAAATGAAGACATCACCTGTAGAAGGGGCGGTCGTTGTCATGCCGGAACCAGAGCACCAGCAGCGGCAGGTCGACGTTGTTAACGCGACATGGCAGCCGTGCTGTCCACCCACTCACGGCCTCTACCTTCTCCGGTATTCCTGTACGAAAATGATTTATTTCAACATTTTAGCGCATTTTCTCATTTGTGGAAAAATGCACTATTGGGCTCGTCATGTCCGTCCGTCTGTCCGTCTGTCTGTCCGTCCGTCCATCCGTCCGTGACTTCACGTTTTCGTCGACGAGAAAATACGCTCTCTGTCACTCACTGCAGTGAGTACTGAGTTATATTTTTTACTACACCTTTACTTTTCTTATAGAACAAATTAACGGTTTGACTTCTCTGAATAATAATTAAACGGTTTCAATTTTCCCGTACCACAATTGATTTTTCTCTTAACTTTGGATAACTTCAACGGTGTAACGGTGTACCTTGTACCTTTGGAAAACTGTAACTGTGATGATCTTAACGGTGTGCCTTGTAATGTAGTTGATTGTGTCTTATAGTTTATGCAATTAAAGAGTTTCTATGTCTGAAAATATTATTAGGTTCAGGATTTTATTTAAATATTATTAAAAGATTATTATATAATCATTTTTCTTGCTCATGAGTTTTAGTAAAGATCCAATTTATTATCGTTATTCTAATTAATTTTTATTTATGATGAAGAGAACGGGTGTCGATGGTACTTTTCTGTGATGCCAGGATTTTTTCCTGGAGCATCTGACATAATTATTAAGAAAAAATTAATTAGTATTTCAATATAAATTAGTGAACGCCTAAATATACCAAATGTTCAGTAAAATTATATAAACTGCAAATCAATCAAAGTATGTTTGTCATTTCCAATCAAATTTTGTGCAATATCCACTGAAAGGGTAAATGTAAAAACCTGGAATGCAGGTGAACAAACTCTTCATTTAACACATTCAGCCTATCAGAACGAAGAGTTTGTACAGAATATCAGCGTATCACAGATGATGTGAAACGCTCAGTGTTTCTGTTATACTGAATTTTTACTCGGTGTCATGTTTCCTCTATAAACCTTTCGCATTGGCCGGCGGCGTCTTCCAGAATATGTGATGCTAATTTTTCATTTCCGAGATCTCTAATGCATTCTTTTTCACTGCTAAAGCTAACAAAATAAATGTGTATTGTTATCGCTGTGAATATTTTTATCCAGGAATTGCGACCACGCAAAAGTGTTTTTTTCTCAATTAAGGTATATTGCATTACAGAGACTGTATAATATTTTCTTAGACGGAATTTCGATTGATTTGTGAAACTCGAAATAAATTTATAGCTTCAGAATTGCTTTATGTATCTCAAAAACCGTAAATATACAATGTGTGAACAGATTGGTTTTGTTTATAATTTAAAAAAGCATCCAATATATGTACTGCAAAGGAAAATCATTTAGTTAAACAAATGTTCATGATGCATTTTAGAGTACGTGCATTTTTATTGCAGTTTTTCAAAATTATTTTTTTTAGCCTTTAACGGAAGATTCGTTTTGTAGGTGTGTCTCGACTCTCTAATACAAAGGATACATTCGAATTGAAGAAAGAAATAACGATATGAAAGCCATTTTATAACTTTAATGTTTTTTTACAAAACTAAACATCCAACCAATTTAATTTTAAACAATACTATGCAGTTTTCGTAGGAAGCGGCCTAGCTGAGAGCAGTAACAGTTTTGATGGTGGTGACATAATTAAAGTCAGCTCAATAACGAGTATTAAAGCATTTATTACGTAAATAGCGTTATACGAATGCTCATACAAGTGAATGAAAACTCAAATTTCCTCAGCCAGGAAGCAAAACGTCCAAAATTTCGTTCCTGAGAAATATTTTTACATTCTATACAGAACTTTTGTGCTGAAATTTGTCATTTTATGAGGAAAAGTGCTTGTTTCTTGGGGCCAAAACTGTAGAAGGCGACACAGTTTGTGTTCCCGTGTTTCTTTCCCCTTTACCACGCCGCCTCTTCAACAACGAGGTGTGTAACAATTTTTACACCAATATTTACAATAAATATATCACAAAATTCGTTACTGGAACGAATGTTACTAGAAACTGAGTTTTCTGGAATATTGAGGTTTAAATATTCACCCATACAAACATATTCATTTCAAGAAGAGATGAATAGGCCAGGATTAATTTCTGAATGCCATTAGAATTAATGAGAGTCAGAAATGCCCATTCACTGAATTTTCGGGTTCTAGCTTTTCACAATCGGTGCAGAAACTAAAGCTTTTCTTGTGAGCAAAATGTCAGCATTTTTCGAAAGTCATTAAAAACTTGATATTAGTGAATTCCAATTAGAGATTCTATAGGAAATTATCTTAGGATTTTCCAAGTTAAAAGCATTGACGCCAGTGGATGCCTTTGCATGATACGTATAAAGAATGAAATACAGACCATGTTCTGCGTCCGCGCTGGCTTGCCACTCTAACGGCCCTCTCTGATGTTCTGCGTCCGCGCTGGCTTGCCACTCTAACGGCTTGTACCCACGCATTTTGTGGGTGACTGTGAGTAACTGTACCCACGCATTTTGTGGGTGACTGTGAGTAACGAATACTCACAGCATTACACCTCCTCGTTACCTCAAGTTGCTCTTTTAAAAGGGCTCTCAAATACAATGAATTACTTTAAGATTCACTTTCTATCTTATCTATTTTAGGACCTATTTTCTATCTTAATTATGAGTTGTGGATTCTTGTCAATAACTGCGGGGAGGATGAACAAGCTAGTGTTCAGTATGAATAGCAATAATATTCATTTTGAATATTATTCAATTATTCACCATTGTTATTTTTATACAGGAGGAGGATTCATCAAAGCTGACTTTCCATGGGAGTTCATTTTGAAGGTGAATTTTACGAGATTTTCCAGCGATGTGGAACACATTTACATTGAAAGTACGCCCGAGGCAAAATGATCGCCTGGAAAGCAGCAAATGTAGGAGTAAACGTTGCTCGTTTGAATCAGGACATCGCGACGGCGAACTAAAACACGCGAGAAATGCACCGGGGAGAGGATTTACGAAATGGAAAAATTAACGAGTTGTGGTAACTGGAAAATTGCTCACAGTCATCTCGCTTCCTCTCGAGGGAGGATTCATGAGAACCTATGAGACGCGGGATGTGGTTGGTGAAGATAAATGGGAAATGAGATAAGGGAGGGAAAACTCTGTGTGTGGAATTAAGTAGCATAAACGAGAGTTTCAGTGAAAGCCTTTGTTGAAGTAATTCGATTAATAGAACACGAATGAAATAGTTAGTATGGAAAGAGTTGAATGGAAAGAGCTGGGAGGAAAAAGTTGGGTGAAAAAAATTTAGTGAAAAAAATGTAGAGGAAAGAGTTGAGCAGAAAGAGTTGGCAGGAAAGAAATGAGAAGAAAGAGTTGGGTGGAAAGAGTTGGGTGGAAAGAGTTGGGTGGAAAGAGTTGGGTGGAAAGAGTTTGGTGGAAAGAGTTTGGTGGAAAGAGTTGGGTGGAAAGAGTTGGGTGGAAAGAGTTGGGTGGAAAGAGTTGGGTGGAAAGAGTTGGGTGGAAAGAGTTGGGTGGAAGGCGGGTGGCGAGAGTTAGGAATTCAGATGCACCATAAATGGATTTCGTCTGATTCAGCGAACAATGGAGAGCAAGTGTGCAAAGAGAAACGCAGTACGAAGTTGGTGTGTGTCAGGAGACTATGAAAAATAAGGTAGTCATAATTGCGCAAAAGCTATAAAGTGGCCCAAAATTTTGGACCAGAGATTCTACTGCGCTCCGTGATTACGTTTCACTTCTTTACCTCTGATACGCTTCGATTTTATTAAACGGGTAGACTCCTTTGTGGCAAATTCAGAAACCTTTGTTGTAATTTAAGCAAGTTAAACTTGATGAGTCAGTTTGAAAAACAAAAAAAAATATCTCCACCTGAGTGCTGCAAAACAAAATGTGGATTGAGCCACGGCATCCCATTGAAATACAAGCTTTTGAAGTTCATGGTAGGTTTACTGATCAAACAAATAGATATGACACACATGTATTTCAAGGTATACCTTCATTTATATTTCTACGTGTGGTGCGAACACTTCGTTGATATTGACTGAGAGGCGATACGTTGATACCACTTCGACATGAGAGGCGCGGCAATGCGCTGGCGAGATCAAAATGAAGTCTGATAGTGTGCATTGCAAAGAGTGAAAATGACTGACATTTTACTGCAAGAAAAATACTAGAATAAGATAAATATTTAGTAATTTACAGAATACTTATGTGCAGTAGGGGGACTGACGGGTAGTAATATCTATGTTAAATTGGGAATAACTGTGATTCAGGAACTCCAATCATACCATTCTAATCTTAAAAATAATTTTAAGGGATCAAGGTTGGCAATATGAAGACGGACTAACGGTTAGTATTACTACAGTGAGATTAGTGCAGAGAAATACTACAAAAAGCCTGGCGATTGTCATTACTTTAGTATGAGATTACTGCTTGGCAGGAAAAATTAACAAATCATGATTAATTTCTAATAACAAAATTGAATTTAATTAAAATTGATCCACATGACAATAGTATAATTCATGTGCTTTTTGTCGAATTACGCTCAAATCATATAATTTTACTAAAAATGTATAATTATGTTTCAATAAGGTATGGACTGATATTATTTTCTTCATAACGTGTTAATTTACTGTACATACCAAAAGTGATAAATCACAGCTATATATTTGGCCAATAACGTTTAACCGACTTTCTGGGACTGTATATACTTCGTTTATAACGAAGGTACCAGGAATCTATAGTCTAGATTTCAGAGAATCTATTGCCTGGCTTTCATAGGATATATAAATCAAAAGCACGATTGCTTAAGGCTCAATGCACTTCTGAGGACACGGCCTCGTCTCCACCAATTTATTCAGCGAAATATTCAACAGCTTTTTTCTTCAGTGCGCAATCCAGTCCTGAACTCGATCGATTGTAATAAGAAGTATGGCTTGGGTAGGTAACGCTTCTCTTGCATACTCGGGCCACATTATAAAATGTCCGACTCTGCAAATGTGCCAGATTAAGTGAATGACTCTACGTCTTATTCAACCAGGCAAACATAG